TTTTTTTTTTTTTTTTTTTTTTTTTTCGGTAAGAAGTCGGAGAATTTCAGCGTCAGTGGGGGTAAGTGGTCAGGAAATTTTTCCCAAGAGTCAGAAAAAAGTCAGGAAATTTTGAAATTAGACTGAGCTTCCAACCATGATAAAAATAAAAAATGGCCACATTTTCATGAGTTTTTTAAGCATCCCCCCCCCATNTTTTTTTTTTTTTTTTTTTTTTTTTTTTTTAGATTTGCGAAGTCACAGTCCAATTTAAAAGTTTCCTGACACGTCCTATATCGACGGTGAAACTGCAAACATTTGTATCTAGCTTACGGTGTTTCAAAATATCCGCTCCTCTTTTATTTTTAAAAGGAGATCGAGCCAATCTTATGGTTTGAAGTTTTCACAGAATATTCTCATGAAGAGAAAAATAATCATCAAAATGCATAAAAAATGACGTTCAATAGTTTACCATGTAGGAAATGAAATATGACAGGAAGCCTGTAAAGCCGCAAACGCAGATACGCATTTCGTCTCTCCTCTGACGTAAGGGCGTATCTCGATTTCCGCATGAGCCCCGCTCTGCATAAACAGCATGCTTTCTGGGGCTCATGAGGAAATGGAGATGTTGCGTGTGTGAGGAATTTGCGATTTGACTGTTGATTCTCATGTAAAAGTTCGTGAGAAACACGATGGTGCCACTGGTTTTCTCTGAAATCAACTCCCAAGCTCAAAAAAAGCTCTCAAGTTGAGGCCAAAATGGAGGGGATATCCCATGCTATCCTGTGAGTCCACTACTACATCAAAACAAACTCGCCATGCAAAGATAGAGAGCAAATACATAAGCAGTGATGCCGTGTTTTCGGTTTTTGAGTCCCCAAATAAAGTGGCAGCCCTGTCAATGTATTTGCTCCCTATCTTTGCATGGAGAGTTTGTCTTGATGTAGAGGTGGACTCTCAGAATAGCGTGGGATATCCCTTCCATTTTGGCCTCAACTTGAGAGCTTTTTTTGAGCTTGGGGGTTAATTTCAGAGAAAACCAGTGGCCACATATCGTGTTTCTCGCGAACTTTTACATAAGAATCAACAGTCAAATCGCAAATTCCTCACACATGCAACATCTCCATTGAGATACGTCCTTACGTCAGACGAGCGACGATTTCTGCAGTTTCACCATCGATGTACACTTTACTATGACTTGCCTCCTCGTAAGTTTTACTTAAAAACACTCTAAAGGGATCTTCTAAAACAAACATTGTAACAGTTTTTTAAAGAGTTGTCTTTATTTTTTTTACAAATTGTTTTAACAATCGATTCCACACGAAGAAAGCTCGAGTTCGTCGTCACCTTTCTCATTTGACGAGACTGCTCATCATTGAGACGGCCCACAAATGACGTCAGACATTTTCCTGAATTTTTGTTCCCTCCCTGCAATCATGTAGGTCCCTACTCCCTCTCCAACCCTCATCCAGATGAGGTCAGGAACCCCGTACCTAGACCCTACCCCTAAGTACCTGATAAGTATGTACATCTACACCATGGCAACAACTATAGTTGTTTTATCTGCGGGGTCACTTGTGTGTGTAAGTATAACGGATCTTCTTCTTCTAAATAAATGTGTATACCTATTAACAGGAAAAAAAAAAAAAAAAAAAAAAAAAAAAAAAAACTAAGAATTGGCCCGAACTGTACGTAACAAGGTGGAGAAATGGTGTTGGGTCCACACCGTTTCGCGGGGAAAACAGAGCTAGGAAGTTCCAAAAATTATAAATAGAGTCAAAATTAAATTTTTTGAACTCTAATGCGTACCAGTACGAAACTGAGGGGGGAGAGTGTTCAGCTCAGGCAGTTCGCATCGGAATACTAAGTTGGCGAGTCACGCCGAGAGATCTATACCGGTTTGGGCCTTTTAAGACCTCATCAGCATGTATCACAGATTCAGATTTGTCTAAAGGACCAGTAGATGAGGTATATTTAATGATGGAAAAGTTAACAGAAAGTAGGAAAATCTCAACGATCCTTCGATAATTGCAGGCTCGCGGTGTATGTACACTGGTTGGATATTGTGTCCACTACGTGGTGGGTCTGACGCCGAGAAATTACAACGAGTAAAGCGCGCACCGCAGTCTCTGAATTACTCGTAAAGTCTTGTAATGTGCGCTACAGGCCAACTGACCGGCTGCACCGCGTTTGGCGCAATGCGAGAAGTATTCACGCAGTCTCGTAGGCGCTAATATGCGGCTCACGACGACCGCGCTGTTTGACGTGATACATGAAGTATTTCCACAGTTTTGCAGGCGCTAATATGCGTTCAACGCTGACCGCACTGTGTTTGGCACGCTTATTCGAATTCGCGCTATAAAAATCGCGGTATCGAATAATGGGGCTAAAACGGCCGATGCGTTGTATTTCGACGCCGTTGAGCATTCCAACGTTGCCTCGTTTCTCCCGATAAAATATTTTACCGAGAAAAGTCAGGAAAGCTCTCTATGTTCGCTATTTTGGATTGAATGAAACATCAAACAAGGAATACGAGTTTAAGCCACTGATTAATGATTCTGCTTCGCCAGAATTTCACGTAGAACACAATTCGCACAATGGAAAAGTGACGTTTAGTGTGCAATTTATTTATACCCAAGTAAATTGTTGTTTCTTCCATGAGCGGAAAGTTTGACTTTATTCATAAAAAACGTTATTACCACGATAGGTAAACGATACCTACTAATAGTTATCTTATTAAATAAAAACACCGAACCCGATCGAAATACAGTGCAGCCCACTTTAGGTACTGCTCAACAACGAATATCACGAGAGAGTTAGTAGTTTTGCCTATCGATACTATTGTAGGCGTTTTGTGCTCGTCTTTTATCACGGTTATATGTCTTTGGATAGGTATTACACGGACGTGTATTTTTAACTACGAAGTCACGACTTGCGAGGAAATCTGAAGAAATTTTGAAACGGAAGAAAAAAACGAGTGTGGACATTGAAATTCTGCATATCAAAAAGTATGAAATATTTTGCATCAAACTTTCAAATTTCAAATAGGTAACCACATTGAAAAAAAAGAAAAACCTGAAGTTCATGGATTCATGAGGATTAAACTATGAAAACCCGTGCTTATGTATGGTGATGTTTCACGATGTATTTTTACATCTTTTGTTTTTCCTAAACTAAATTTGGACCAGAAGTATATTTTACGAGACTTATCAAAGTACATCCTAAGGAATACCAAAAGGACAATGATAAGACATTTTTATGAGCTATATTGTATTGATTTTCTCCAATTGTGTTATAATTTGGATTTTGAAAAACAATTTAGAAAATCGAATTACTCCATGTTTCATCTTACACACGTGTCTCTTTTCAAAGCTTTGAAAAACAAGGCATCTTAACCGACAAAGGAACAACATTTCATCAATATTTGAACAAATTAGCACAGAAAATCGTAACTTCAACCGCTAGTGTTTTTGCTATTTAATCCCGTCGGCAAACAGAGAAGAAAACTCTCCAAGCTTTTCCTCCGTCATCATGAGACCAATCTCCATCCCTCTGCTACCACCATGGCTCTCCGCTAACGAGATCTCTCCGTTCCTCGAGATGGACACGACTTTCACCTTCCTCGGTCTCCCCCACCCAAAGTCCGTGTCGTAGAGCCGCAACTGCGGTGACCCCGCCAGGGACAAAACCCTCATCTCCTGGAACAGATCCGGTCGTAAAGAAAGCTTCTTGACATCCCCCGGGACGGGGTCAACCCCCAACCCTTTCAAGGATTCGCTGATGGCTTCCACCGCTAGTATCAGACCGTCCTCTCCCATCAGATCGTTTCCCGCGGCACTCGCGATGCAAGGAAACACACAATTCCCAAAATAAGTGGCCGGTACCGGGAACTGCAGCCTGCTCCTAAGGTCAGCGGCGCAAACGAAATAAACCCTCTTGTCGAAAAGTTTGTGTGTTTTTACAAGGCACACCCATAGATGCGCACAAGCCAGAACGAAGGTGGACATTTTACAAGGATATCCCTGCCGGAGGGTGACCAACTCCCTGAGCCTGTCTATAGCTGATGACGTCAAGGTAAATTGTCCGCGGAAATATCCTTCGTAATCGATTTCTCGTAATTTTAAGTTCGTATTTTTATACGCATTTACATTATTCAAAAGGAGCTCCTTGATGCTATACTGGTCGTCGATCAACGCTCTGTCGTAGACTGGGATCAACTCCGGTGGCAAACTATCCGTGCACCTATTCTTACAGATGTTGGCCCAGGATTTCAAGAAGAGCGATAGACCTTTCCCGTCGTGGGCCACGTGATGGTATGTCACGCCGATGCAGAATCCATGGTTTGGGAAGATCGTGATCTGCAGTGCCATGAGACCCGTCTCCGTTTCGGAGTTGTGTAATTGAGGTATTAGAGGACGGTACGCCGTCGCGCGCCGTGGAGTATCGCTGCAGAAGAAGTCTAGGTCCACGTTGGATTCGGCAATTGTTAACGGTATCGAATCGTCTTCATCGATTTGTATGAAAGGCTCGTTTGAGTCGGACGGCCATACCAATTTTCCGGCAATCGGACGGAAGTACCCCAGGGTGAGAGAGAGAGAACGTTTGAGATTCGAGAGTATTGCATCGGCGAATACAGGCGGACGAACTTCATAAAATAATAGTCGCTCTGTCGGAGGGAACTGGAGGTACTGCAGGTCGAAATAAGAGAGGGCGATGGAATCTTGAAGGGTAGACTCGATTTTTGAGTCCACGTCGGGGCGAATTTGGCAGGCTTCTAAAATTTCGATTGCAGGAGATAATACCATTGCCACGATTGAGAGGGGTGGGATGAAAGAAAATGTCCAGAATTCAGAGAGGGTAGCGTTACGAACAGGTATCCGCAGTTGTGGTACTTTTCCTCTCGATTTAAAAGTGTAAATTGAAGTTATTTGTAGGTCGGAATCACCTGTGTGTAAGAAAAAAGTGACGTTCTCAATCGACGTTCATTGTTGAGAGGTAGTATTGATTTATGATAAATTAATTTCCTCCGATAATTTTATCATAAGTTAATAATGCGCACAGTGAAAAAAAAAATTAGTTTGTTTTTTTCTTCCTCTTCTTTGTTTTGTGACTTAAGTATTCATCGACAACAATAGTAAAACTCCAGCCAAACCAAACCGGGACTGTTTTTATCCCTTCAGAAAAGTTCCTTTTAAAACGAGGTTGTGATGATGATTTTGGATTTCTTCTGGAACCTACGCGTAGCCAATAAAGTTCTTAGTGGTAGGCCTGCTGTCGTCGTCCAAACTTGTAATATACAGTTCCTGAAAAAAAAAATTATAATGGTAAAGCTAAAATAACAACTTATCTTTGGAAAGTTGCGAACATGATCACGAAGAAAAAAATAGCATTCCCTGTAGTTTGAGATTAGTTAGAATGATGGAAAGAAGAGGGTTGAAACAGTCATAGAGTTTTACTCTATAAGAAAGAACAAGAGCGAATAAAAAATGAAGTATAACGATTAAGAACACGCAAAAACCTAACTGATTTTGTGTAAAAATAATAGTGAGTGATCAAAATTTCAGATCTTAATTTTTTTAAAAAGCTGAAATAGTTACAAAATACAAGCAACTCTAGCATTGAATCTGATTCTTATCTCCTAAACTCTTCTAATTTTGTTTTTTTTTAATGCCTTGTTCTAATACAATAAGATATTTTTTCCTCTGTTAAAGTAGGAGGATAAAATCAGTCTGAATACTCCCTGAAATCTAATTCCCCCCCCCCAATAAATTTAACTCGCATGCTATTATGGTCAGCAAAGGGGCTACTTCTTAAAAAGTATGGAAATATGACGTACATAAAAAAATCCGGAGATTCAACTATTGTCCGCGTGGGAGCTGTTTTTGCCTATCCGTGAAAATTAAGAAAAATGGAGCAATCCTTTGCAAAGCGTAACTGTGTGATTAACCAAGAGCACCAAAGTGTGTCTCGCCTGCAGCGGAGCGGTTAGGCAACTATTTCGACTCGTGGGAGCTGTTTTTGCCTACATACAGAAATGAACTGGCTGGGCAGCTCAGTAAAGCTATCATTTAAAGCGATATTCTGGTTTTTTTGTACATTTCACTCAATAAACCTCCGAAATAGAGGCCGACATTAATTTCTAGACGTCGCAAACATGCCTCTCAATTTTGAACATGTCAGCGATTGATTTGACATGAGTATTGTCATACTGGCAGCATTCATGCACTGTAGTAGAAGCACCTTCCTTTTATCATGCAAGCTCTGATGGAAATTTTATCATTATATAATTTAAATGCAATTTTGCTTATCACTGAAACATTTTTTGATTCCAAAATAATAACTTTCATTTTCATTTCATTTCATTTATTGCGGAATACATATAGTGATCACCGCATATTGCTGTTTTTTGTAACCTTTCGTTTAAGTCTCTGAGAAATTTGAACGTCTAACGCTACTTCATAAGAATTTCGAGTTATTATTTTCTTCTGTTTCTGAAAATAACAGATAGAAAAAAGGGAATTTTGCATCTCTAGGGACTGAAATGTGTATTTTACGGTCTTGCCAGGTTCTAATTTCTGAATCGATGTCTAATTTGCAAATTTCAAAACGGTATGCTTGAGCGGTATAAAGTATAAAAACTCGCTGTTTTCGTAATTTTTTGAGCTCATGACGGCTTTAGATGACTTGGAGCACACGTCATGGGTCAGAGTTAATCTAACTACATTGGACGTTATTGCCTAATTTCCCATCGTGTTTTTTCCATCTCTTTTACCAGAAATTTAAGCAGATTCTGCTTTGAAATTATGTGAGAATATTTTTCATATCCAAGGGTAAATTAACAGAAATTTTTGAGACGTCGCGTCGTTTTACTTCGGCATCGTGTAAAATAATAAAATATCATGGAGAAAATTCAGCAACGCTGAATGCAGTTAGGCCAACTCCGGTTAAATGCGTCCAAACGATGTCGGCCTCCGGTTCGTCAATTTTGGATACAAATCGTTTCAAATGATTGTTTTCCATATTTTACACATACGTGACAGTTTCATACAAAGTAAGTTATCGAAAAAATGAAATATTTTAATTTTAAGAAAATTTTTGACTCATTAAAACATCGATGGTTTCATTGAAGAAGCAAGTTCCCATGCAACGCATTCCTATCAAAACTGAAAAATTGACCTACTAAAAAAACTCCCCAAACACTGCGAGTTTTTGAATCCCTGACGAAATTAAATCCCGCAATCTATGAAATGTATAAACTTTTACGTGTTAAGTTGAAACTAAGGTTTTCAGTTTCCTTATGAAAAATATACACCCTTTCCACAAAAATTGAGTCAATAGATTAAACTCTAAACGCAGGGTCAACTTTAACTATCGTTAATCGGGTGTTAAAATTATGAAATCTTGACTTAAATTTTGCAGACTATACTTGGATTGCATATAGCAAAAAGGAACCAGTGCGATTACAGTGTTGCTCCTTCAAAATTATCTAAGAAGTCTCCTAGGATAGCAAATAGTTTTGGCTTTCCGCCAAAAAATTGTTAATTTTAAAGGAAAATAACTGTGTAAATTTTAATATTATACATATATTGGGTATTTTTTTAAACAAATGGAGAAGTTGCACAGTTTTGAAAACAATATCATTGCGCTGGTTCCTTTTTGCTACATGCGATCCACTCAGTGATTAAGTTTATAAAAATATTTCGGCAATCCAAGGTTGCAAACATTTTCGCATGTGCAAAAGGAGCATACATTAAGAAGCACAGTCTTTTTCCGCATTCAGCATGACTATAGTGGACCACAACTTGGAAATGTAAGAAGACATACTGATAAATGGATTGCATTTTGCGAAAAGGAACCAAGAGTATTCCAATATCGCTAAGATTGTGCAACTTGCTTTACCTTGCAAACGTAAACTGATCACCTAAACAAGTTTTATCTTTACCTACTTCTAAGAAACTATAAATTCAAAACGAAAATTATCTGCGTAATTTTATTTTGTACATGATTTCAATATTTCTATTCTAGAGAATTCAAGTTGTGCAATTCTAGCAACACTGCGGAATGCTCCTGGTTCCTTTTTACAAAATGCAATCCAAATAATATTCACAGGGGGAAAAAACAATGAACTAAAAGCTTTAACTAGGAAATTAAAACCTATGTGCAAAAATATTATTCTTGACGAAAGAAATCTCTTACCTGATCGATGCGAAATATTTTTGACGCCAACTTAGTTCAATGAGGGTGGTTTTCACTGCAAATATATGATGGTTATATTGCTTGATGTGGTTACTTCTCTAAACTGATATTATATCACCTCAAATCCTTGGTTTTCTGTAGTTTTCTCTTGAACCGGGAGTGGAGGGGGCCTGTCTGTCTTATCATCTGGTACATATTGTGTCATATTGTGGCCATGTCTGAGGGGCATGCCTTATACAGGGTCTTCATAAAAGGTACTCCCATACTCGAAGAATTTAGAAGCACCCAGCAGAAGTAAAAATATCCTCCGTGAAAATTATGTTTCTGCTAAATTACTTATGAGCTAAGATGCAGGCAAAATTTTTTATTTTTTTAAATTAAGACGGAATATTACAAAGTAGAAGCTTACTTGAGAGAGATTTTAGAATCACTCTGTCCAGATTTTAGCTCAAGCAACCAGAGTTGGAATCATTAGCACATCATTAACATCCAGACATTCGAGAATAAGCCTAAATTGCATTTATACATGCATTCTTTAATTTTTTTGTCTATTTTTTACTGACTCCTGTGACTTAGCTGTAAGGATGTAATGTTTTAAAGACCCTGTATATGAACGGTCTTTCATACTTGGTACTTAACTGTAAGGAAGAAAAGAAAAGAACAAAGAAATAAACAAATAATTTATAGATAAGTGAACAGAATACTCAAAGTTAAGTGTTCACTGAATAAAGAGGTAACTCAAAACAAAGTAGCCGCTCAAGAATTCCCAGCTTGAAACAAGTTCAAACGTGTTATTCAGATTGAAGTTTTCTGTGGTGGTCAGCTTTAATCAAAGCAAAATCCCTTTTCTACACGACCAGGCCATTGCTTGACTAGGTAGGCATCCCGATACACGCCAATGTTGGGTCTCTCATACTATCGGTGAAAATGGTGAGTGATCCTTGCTTTTTAGAGACAATTACGCTGAGGTCAACTCACATTGAAATCAGAGCCCCCCCCCCAAAAAAAAAAAAAAAAAATTGCATAATTTGGTGCAAAATAAATTGAGGTTAGCCGGCCAGGTTGGCCTAGCGGTCAGCGCGTCTGACTCGAGACCAAGAGGTCCCGGGTTTGAATCCCGGTGTATTTTTACGGAACTGACGAGTGGATCCGCAGAAACAGATTCTACTCGGCCTTAATCCCTGAAAGTTTGAAAACTGGAGCATGGATGTGTCAAAATCCCCCTGATGTCCACTGACAATATAAAAAATATCTCTACGTTAAACTCTTGTCTACAGATGGCTGTAGATTCCTACACTGGAATAAAAGCCTAATAAACTTAAAAAAAAAAAAAAAAAAAAAAAAAATTGAGATTAGCTCCAAAATTGACGTTTGTCTAGGCGCGTGTCAGCTTTACGGCTTCATTGTTCGATTGAGGTTAAAATGAATGATTATATTGATGAGTTATTATATATTGCCGTTTAATCTTAAAAAAAGTGTGAGGAAAGAGCTCGATACAATTGATTGCTGTCGACTACCTGCTAGTGAGCTTACGTTATGTTTTCCCCGAGGTTCCGAGGAGGATTTTATATTTTCATTTTCGATATGTTACAGAATCAGATCTCTAAAA